CCTATTTTAGGCTGAGTAACTACTTCCCTGTCCTTGATCTTAATTGTGTTCCTCATTGGTTAGTTGCTTTTTATTTCAGCCAGTGCTGAGTAAGTGCAATATGGGTATAAAGTAGTACCAAATCACTATAGCAGTATTTTATTTGCTCTGCCCTGACTCTAGACGGGCATAAAGTTACAGAACAGTAATAATTAATCCCACAGTCTAAAAATACAAACCTAGTACTCTAATTTCCCCCATACCACTTCTGTCTGACAGCCAAAATATACTAGCTGCCTCCATTATTATTATTATTATTATTATTATTATTATTATTATTATTATCATCCTCATCATTGTCATTGTCAATGGCATCATCACCACTATGTATCACTACCTCATTCAGTTTAAACTCAGCGAAAGATGAAAAGATCAATATAAAATTAAATTTCCTTTTTTTTCATTCATATAAATTTCGAAAATTCTAGCATCTGTTTTTTGTAAGTCCTATTTAACTATCACAAGTCTGAAAAATAGAAGCAAGAAGATGACATCCAGTACTGGTATGTGCAAAAAAATGAATTAATCTCTTATGCTGTTTTATTTTATGGAAAGAATAATAAAAGCAAGTTTCAACCCCCCCCCCCCCCACTTAACTTTTCCCAGTGGGAATTTAAAATAATGTAAACAGATAGGAAGATAGGAATATAAACTTCTGAATTTATCATCTAGGGCAACATTTTCAGCTGGCATAGCTTAGTGAAGTTCCACTGGTTTCAGCCTGGAATCTATATTCTGTATTGCTATTGCTTGTTGGTTCAGGACTCTCTAATGTGAATTTGAGAAATTGTAGGCATTAAAACAAAAGGACTGATCTATGACTATACCCTCTGTCTTCATTAAACAAAAATAATATCTATTTTTGAGCCATTGATGACTAGATGGCAAGATTGCATTATTTAAGATGCCATCTAAAAATCCTGGTAGTAACTTAATATATCTGCTTCTGTGCTTTGCCTGTTAATACTGAAACTTAGGCAGTTTACTGTGAAACTTAAGAAAAATTGCCCTGTATTCACCTATGAAAACTATGAACCTTATTCTTAGGGGAATGATCGACAATCTAAATCTACTGTTGGATCCAGCGACACGGGAGAGATGGTATCATCGCCTCAACCTCCAAAAAGAAAAGAAAAGAAAACACAGAACCAAGAGGAGAGCCATTCTTCTAAGAAAAACTCAAAAGTGAAACAAAATGTAAAAGTAGCGACCTCAACTTATGCTGTCCAAGACAATGGTAAGTACTTGGGTGAAGTGTATCATACTGTAGCCACCTAAATGCAAAGGGCCAAACTGATCATGGATACACCAGTGAAAATTTAGAGTAGCACAATGGTGTGACATGTGGCTTTGTGCTGTCAAGTGAATTTGACTGCCACATTAATATACAAATCAAATGTTGAGGTACAATTGGCAGGTACATTCACAGCCTTAGCTCAATTTATAAAAGAAAGAGGAAGCTGGAATATGCTATACACTCTATAAGTTAAGTGACCTTTATCTTTTGTGCTTTTTGGTCCAAATGGAAAAAAAACCAACCCTGCCATAATCTATTTTCCCCATTCTGTATTTCAAGCAAAAAGGAATATCGCGTTCTCCCAGAGGATATGATAGTAGCCATGCAACACAATGACTAGATCCTCTAGGAGTAAAACAAATGCAAAACTCCAGTTAGTCAATAGTAGCAGAGACAAATCACTTTTGGACTTACTCAAGGTAACTTCTGATTTCCTTCCTTGCTACTCCTTGGCAGCAATTCAGGAATTGAATAATAAATGTTCTCTCTGAGAAATTTCTTTCTTTTATTATTCTGTGAGATGTTTCTATGCCTAGAAGAATGTCCTCTTTATAAAGGTATGTTGCTGAATTGTTAGGCTTGCTATTTTTTCTTATCAGTAATAGTTCCAAAATGCTTAACAGACCAAATAATATCTGTCAACAATGATAAATTACACTTTTCACAGCTTTTGACATTCCATACACTGTCTTTTAAATGTACCATAATACTCAGCATACTGGATTCAGTGGTGCTTTTTGTATATCTGCACTTGTATAGGATTATGTTTTATAAACTGTACTTTGTGATTGAAGAGTAGATTTGAACATTGGCATTTAGAGATCAATTAACCCCTTTACTGTGAATCACTTTGTAATCTAGCCAGTGTTCCCTCTAAGCTGAGTGCGTGCATGGCTGCGCACAATAAAAAATCATGCCACGCAATAACTTTTTAATGCTGCGCGCACAGTGGCATACTGACAGGGGGTGAGGGGTGGGGCAGTAGGGGGCCATGGCCCCCTGGGCACCAGCCTGGGGGGACACCCAGTGCTGTAGCAAGGGGGCACCAATGCTCCCCCCACTGCTGCCTTCATGTCTGGCCGCTTGTCACCCGCCCCAACCTGGCCACAGGCTGCTGCAAGAGGTGGGGAGGGGCAGGCACACTGAGATACCTGCGCACTCCCAACCAGGATTGCTTACGGATCACTAAACCTTAGAGGGAACATTGAATATAACCATGTTTTTCATAGTATAAGCCTGTAGAATTGTTGGTTTATTTTTGTTTTGAATCAGACGCCCTTGAATTATATTGCTGATATTAATATAGCTGGACATAATTATCTAACTGCTTATGGGTGGTGCTCAAACTATGGTTCCTTCTATCTTAACTAATTATCTTATTATAGTGTAAGTAAGTGACAGTTCTGTTCTTTTCCTTCCAGACCGTGACTGTCCATTTACATAGCTTCCCTTTAAAATGATCTCAGTAGATCCCCATCTTATGGGGGTTTCTCTGGCAAGTGTTTTTCTTTTTATCTTGTGTGGGCTTTGCTGTCCATGTTTAAAGCCTCAAGGCTTTCTATTTAAAAGCAAGATAGAGGGGGACTTCAAGTTCTTTATCTTAGAGTGGGCCTTGGAGTTAGTATCTCAGGATCCTTTAATTCAAAGTCACCAAATTAGTTACCAACAACCAAGAAAAAAAATCTGTCCATCACACAAGTTATGGAGGGGTGCTTTGAGTCCACTGATGGGTGCCTCACATCCAGAAAGGTTGACAAGTGCTGTTTTAGAAAACAGGAGATAAACAGAGAAATCATAGCTGGGTCATTGTCTTTCCATATTAGGTGCTGCTGTTTTTCTATGACTGCTGGGAGTCCCTTAAGTGCTCCAGCCAGCTGACTTCCAGCTGCTTCCACTTCGAATTCTCCTGTCTGCTGAATTTTGCACAAATCAAAGAACTCAAATGCCATCATACTGGTCCTAGCTAAAAGAGGCAAGGGATCTGCTCTGTGCTTCCCCCTCTGCTCTTCTTTCTTCAACCTCTCATATGGCAAGAAAGATCCAGGTGTGAAGACGGAAAAGGCTCTGGCTTTTTGGTGGCAGGATGGAGGTGTGCACTTTCCTGCAGCTGCTCAGGGAAACTGGGATCTACAAACTGAGCACAGGGAGCTGAGGAGCAGCAATCCAGGTTGTTAGCTCTGTGGTTGGCTGGTAGTGAAGGAAAATACACTGTCCCTATGATCAACCTATTGATCATGGTTCCCCTGCCAGACGACTTTCCGGGCTCTTTCCTGAATGGGCAGAGACTACAGGGCACTTTGCGATGGCATAGTGGGCTTCAGAATGGTTTGTGGTCACAAGCAACCTGTGGAGTGTACAATTCATGAGAAGCATTTATAGGTACAAGTGACTTGCCAGCACTTTTCCAAATACAACCTATTCTGATTTCTTTTTTTTTTCCATGTTGAAGCTAAAACTCAGATATTTTAATGAAGAAATAATGACTTAATACATATTTTGATGAGACTATATAACCCATTGGACCAAGGTGTCATTCAGAATTTAATTTGAAGTCTTTCTAGTAATTGCTGTTGCTGTGACTTGGCTCAATACCATGAGATATTCAACACTGAAAAAATAATAGAACAGTGTTAACAAAGCAAACAATGTATAGGGTCCCCATCCTGAAATCCCTGCACCCCAGTCAATTCCCACTGGCCCCCTTGGGTGGATCCTGGGACTGTCAAAACTATTCTTCTTGGTAGTGATCCAGGGAAATAGGATACCATCCTCTACTAAGTCTTTGGGTGAGGAGTATTCAGAAGTGGCTGCATGGACTTCCAGTTCGCTTCACTGAATGCTCTGACATTTCTTCAGCCAGATCATATGAAAACAGTTTGGGAAGCAGCTTCATGATAATTCTCCTCACAAGATTGTTGCATCTTGTATTTTAATGAAGGATGCATACTTATTCCATTTGATGGCCCATCATTCCCATTTTTCAATTAAGCATAATCATTCCCTTTCACTTTAGAAGACTCAAGCTAAATTTCATGTGCACCAGATTGTGATGTAGTCAAATCTTTCCCCCCCCATTGTTTTACTTGGTACTTTGCCCCATCCTTGAACTTTTCTGCTGTAAAGAGCAAAAAAGTAGAATGTTGTAATTTCTAGACGTTAAGAGCCATCACTGACAGTAGATATAGCTGCTAATTATGATCCCAGACATATCATTGTGTTTGAGTAGCTGGTGGCAGGTACTTTTCTGGTCAGAAGATTTGTACTGTTAACTTTTAGAAAGTAGTACTTTTGCAATGGCATTTTTCTAAATAAATGGTTTCCTTTCGCTATGTGATGTCATTTGGACATTATACAGGACATTGAAGGGATTTTCTTCCACTTGTACTTTATACTTCCTCTGACGACTATAGTAGACATGAAACTGCCTAAATGACAGCTTTGAACACTTACATTGTTCTATCTTGTCCACAGAAGAGATACTGCAGCCATTGCTGTAACACAAGTTTTATTCCCTCACCTTACCAATGTGCCTAAAATGTGTCTGGGTGGGCCTGTCTCTAAAAGACAGAGTAGTTCACACTGCACGCCTATGCATTTCTTAGATTCTCTGATGTGTAATATGCTGCCAATTCTTTGATGAACCCGACTTACTTAGCAAGAGCTGATCTTGTTGGGGAAACATTTGAGGATTCTGCTGGCTCTCTGAGGCAGGTGCCTCATCTCAGTTGTGGGCGAGATAGTTGCTCCTTCTGCAGCTGCTGCTAATTTTAAAACTGTTGCTAGGGAGAAAGCTAAAACCAGACTTTATGGTGAGTTTTTGATCCTCTGCTGTGTGTGTCTTGTTTCAAACAGGTTTGAAAAGGTATCTGGTCACATGCAGGTTTCAGAGGATGCTTCAGTGTCATCCAATAAAAAATAAAGAAAATAATATTTTCATCATAATGCATAGGATCACACTAGATGAGAATCTGTTAGCACCTAGAGATGATTAATTATACTACTACAACACAAATAAGCATTAGTGCATACGTTTAATTTAGTCTTGGTACTTCATTTTGCTTCAGGATGTCTGAATAAATCCTTCCAAGTGCTGCTTGCATGCACTGATGATACAAAGATGGAGCATTAAAATATATTTTTGATAAGTTAGAGTGATTGAATTAATCTGCCATGGTCATTTCAATCTGTGTTTTTTTTTTAAACAGATAATTTAAATGTATGTCTAGGATTGTAAGTAGCAGAAAGCAAATATTTACTTGTAGTCAGATTTAAAAAGGAATGTTTTGATATGTTCAACGTAAGTTTTCCTTGACCATAAGAGTAACTTCCATGGATACAGGAATTCCTTGGATTTACACATACATTTGTTTAGATTTGCCTTGTATTTGAACATCTTTATTTCTTACCAGAGGCGGGAAATCATCTTTAAAGAAAACCCATTTGTGTGATGTAAATAAGTCTAGGCTTTATTTATGTGTAGCTTACTGGTAGAAGGAGGCATACAAACACTAATTGTTCTGGTTTTATATACACATTTGTTTTATATATGCATATCGAGTGATAACACATTATTCTAGTCTAACACTGTATTCCATGTGATGTGCAAAGTCCCTTGCCATGTGATTGGTCTCTTTTCAAGGAAATGAATGACAAAACCCAAAAGCTTGCTAAAAAATTTTTTTCCAAATAATTTAAGTTGGTCTAATAAAAGATATGAGATTGACCCAAAGAACTTTTGTCTGCCTATGTCCTTAGATCAACACAGCTGCAACCTACACCCCTGTAACACTGTTCTTTAGAAATTCAGATGTGCTAAGAAATAAGTCTCTTCAAGTAAAGTATAATAGACTCTTAAACTGTTCTCTCTCACATTTTCCCTACTATTCATTTGCATATGTAATTCAGGCACATATTATGGCAATTACATGGAAACAAAGTAT